CCGTGCTTGCTTTACAGATCATTTTATCTTATCAACAAAACAATTTTTAACCGAAAAAATATAATGGGATATTAATAAAATATATTAGCACTCTTTTAACTGAACGAAATTCAAGTATAACAGAATGCAGATCAGTTTTTAATACTTTTCATCTTCCAACAATATTTTTCTTATAATATAATAATTTATCGAATATATTTGTAATGGTGTTATTATTCTTTACAGGGTGACAGTGGTGGTCCACTGCACGTGAAAGGAACGTTCGGACACTTAGAAGTAATAGGTAAGAATTGTTATTAATTATTCAATAAAATAATACAATAATTAATATTATTTATAGGAATAGAAGGTTTAGAAATGTTTCTTTAAATTTAAGTTTTCTCTGTTTAGGTATTATTTCATGGGGCCGCGGTTGCGCAAGGCCAAACTTCCCAGGCATCTACACGAAATTAACGAATTACCTTGGATGGTTAAAAGATCACTTAGACGATGAATGTGTATGTCCGCCACCTCGTCGAGAATAATTTCCTCCTAATAATTGCTACTTAAGTCTATATCGTTTAGTGAACACACATTTCTTTTACACAGTTACTTAGAATTTAACTTTAATTAAATTAAGACTTCGACAGTATGATCAGTATTAAGATACGATGCACGGTCAACTGATTTCCGCAAAATATTTGCACTTTTTACAAAAGACAGTTAATAGTCTTGGTCCATGTACAAGCCATCGTAGCGTATTATTAAGTTACTGCGATTGTTCATACGATCGCAAGTAGTTGAGGTGATCTAGTCCAGCGTATACTATAATTTATACAAGTTCCGATTTTCTGTGATGTGTTTCCTGTACAAAAACACTTGTTGAATAAAGAGTACGTTTAGTAGTATATATTAAAAAGTGATATGATTCTTTTTCCTGCATAACGAGATTTGATTATTCCTTCTATTCATTAATTTCATTTTATTAAACTACAGTCCGTTTGAATTACATTTTATAAAATGATCTTCACTTTATCACGTGTCTCCATAGAATATGATCAAGCAGTTGATCTCAGTTCATATTTTATCTAGCGGAATTCAAATAGTAGATTTTTTGACGAAGTTATTAAAAAAGACCGAGCAAACCGGTAAAAACTAACGGTTGCCGAAAAAAGGGCAGACTGTCACTGCAAGATGTTAGATAAACGACGGTTCACGATCAAGATGAACAGGCAATATCTGAAACCGGGTCAGTAGCGAGGAACGATTTGCTTTCAACGATGAATGTGGGTTAGTGAAACCTCCAGACCGTTACCAACGGCTCCTGATTCCTCCCGAATTGAGACAGAAATAGCAATCTCTCAGATCTATCAAATAACGATTATTTGGACATCGTGGCCAATTTTTTTCAAAAAGTTTTAGAAACAGACAACAATCGGTTCCATTCGAAGGTATTAACTTGAGGCTGACATGAAACAATCTCAGTAACTGAAGTTTAAACGTGACACTAAATTCATAGAGTATCATTTGTACCAGAGAAGTAATTTAACTTGAAGAAGAAGTTTAATAGAAATATTTCTCGGAAGATGGTTAATAACAATTCCTGGGGAGGGAAACTGTGATTGCAGCGCGTCGTGGGGAGCACGCGGTGAACAGAGGGCACATACGAAATAGTTGTAAAACTCTGACGGCACGAGCAACTTTTTTAATAACATCCCCCCGCATGATAAAGCCGCGCCAATCTCATTTGTCAAAGCCTTGGACGCGCGTCCACGTCGATGTCCGTTCCGGCGGCCACTAAAAGAGAAATTTTTTGAAAGGACAACTCTCTTCTTTCCTCATTAGCTCGGGTGGGGCAATCGTGCGCGGAGAATAAAAGTAGTGCGGTCTCGACGGTGGGAAGAGATTCTTACCGCAAACCAGGAAAACATTTGGAAAATATTAGATCAACGTATGCATTTAGAAATCGTTACTTCCACTCAGCAAACTTTTTTGCATCTGCTTGGAAATTATTTAAAGAGTTGTAACTTTTAATAGCCTGTTTAAGAGCAATTGTACTCAATATTCGATCTTCTTTCTCTGGAAATAATTTTAAGTTCAACGTTAAATGCTGTGAAATGATTAAAAAGCTATAATGTCCTATTTAATCAATGAAGTTTTGAATATGTATTCAAATTCGTGGCGTGTCATGTATAAAAGATTAGGAGAAACTGTTATACAGTTGGATTAGGAAAAGTATGCGATAGTAACAGTTCATTTTATAATTTCGTATAAATTCTATATATCTTTGAAACATTTCTTCCAAAAAATTAGAAAACTTATGCAATTTAAAATTATTTACAGAAACAAGAATTTAAAGTTTCCCTTTCGCAGGTGAAATTGAATTAAAGGAAGATAACACTTGGAAATGTAGAAAAAATACGAAGACTAAGCTAGAACGTGTTTGAAGATCAGTCGAGCGGTTTTATCAGTTTCTCTGGAAATTCCAGGATCGGTAATTAAGTAGCGTTGAGGGAACCGGTTCGAGGAATGATTTGGCGGGTCGCGTGACACGAATCGTCCACGTCCATCTTGCCAATTTCGAAACGAGAGAGGATCATGTGCGATCGACGCCGCATACTGAATGGGAAGAGCAACAGGACATAGTGAAAGAACTTTCTTCGCCGGGCGTCGAACGACTCGGCTGGGTCTCGGCTTGGTCAGTCTGCCGTCTTCGTGGAAGCGCGGTGAAAGCGTCTGCACCAGGTCTCCTGCAGCCTCTCGAGAGATCACCATGCTCAAAAAGTGAGGATAAGGAATCGTGACAGTAGAACACAGTGGACGGTGCGACACCTGCGAGCGAGTAGAATGCGCGATCATGGAAAATTCATCCAGTGTTTAGGAAGCTTCCAGCCGACGAATGGGGGAGACGTTCGACTATTGTGACGTTTCATTATTAATCGGGAAATGTATCGACGCACCGTGTCACGACAGATCTGGACCCTCGGTTCGATCTTGTTGCTCGTTGCTCACGCTGTCTGCCTCGACGTCAGATTGCTGCAAAACGACTCGTTGACTACGGATTACAGTGTAAGTAACCCGTCGGACCCAACGTTTGTGACATTCGATCAGTGTTAGAAATTTATTGTAATTGAGTAAACCAGTGCTAAGTTATTATATACTGCATCTCTTTAGTTATTCTAATACTTTTGCGACAGTTCGTTACTCCAAATCACATTTGCCTGCGTAACATACAATTTGTTTGTATAAATAGATTTAAAGAAGACAAGCC